ACACTAGAAAGGGATAGCTGACAAAGAAAAAATTAAAAATTGGATAAAAAGTAAATGAATAATGTCATATTACTAAAAAGATGAGAGGCTAATTTGTGCCGACTTTTTGCTAATTTTGTTCAAGCCTCAAAATGAGGAGCTGTCACCCGTTCTGTGTAGCACTGATGACAGTGCCAATGATCCATGAAATAAGCTGCCGCTGGCTTTGTTCTGATAAGAATGAACAAATCTGCACAATGTTCGGCTCCCAGAATCTCATTTTCATACTTGCATGCAGGCTAAAAGAAATAAGCTGTTTGCAGGCTTGATTAATCAGACATTTGAGGGTTTTTTGTCTCTTTGATCTCTTTCGTCTCCTAGGTAACTTGCTTGACATTAATGTTGAGCTTGAGTAAAGACAATCAGGAATTGTAGACCAAACTGATATAAAAATTAAAGACCTTAACACTTTAAGTGCTCCAGTAATGGTTCCGCTTTACTTCAGAAAACATCTGTTTTCATTTAATTAAAGAACAAAAGAGAATGGCATAAATATTTTTCATAGAGACCTATTATTCCATGAAAAGTTAAAGTATGATAATTGGTATTTTTAACTAAGTGCCTCAAAAGTGTCCAAAAGCTATGAGGTGGGGGTGGTGGAGAGATTCATAAATCTGTTAGTTACAAGGTAGTAATTTTGAGATGAGTAAAATATTTTCTGAAATGAATAAGAAGTTTAGAGCCATGCTAGATTAAGCTGTTCAAGTCAGATGCTTCAAATGATTATCAGCAAACTTTATAATGGCAAGACCTTACTACAGAGAAACTCATTTGATTTTTAAAGTTTGTCTTTTAAAAATCTATACTATGTTACAAGGATGTGCCATTATATCTGTTTTACTACCCAATATGATTTACACACTCTAAACCTGTAAAATTGAAAGGAATTAAAAAAATGTCGCAGTGCATTTGCTTGAGGTTATGCAGACGCTTTTACAAATCTTCCAAGTGGCTGTAAAGATGAATGCCTCAAGGGTCTAGCCAGGGCCCTGCTTTTCCAACCAGCTAAAGCCCTTATCTTAAATCCAAGCAAAGTACCATTAATCTTTTTGAAAGACCTTTTATGGCTTTTAATATATCCCAAATTAGAACATTTTACACCCTTGGTTCCTGAAATATGGTGATAAAAAGCCTTTAGAGCTTAATTTTCTTTACTGCGTGCTCTGACCAATTTGCCGTTCTTTGTGATAATGTTTAGACACCTTAATTAAAATGCAGCAAAATATTGGATGTTCTGTATGGAAAATGCTGATACTTTAGCTACACAAAACATTTTTGCGTATATCCTTATTCATATTTTCTTACTTATTTTTACCTTGTATTGCTATTGAGTTGTCTAATGGCCCAAACAGTTTTTAACATAAAGGCAATTGAGCAAGCTTTTGTGATTTTTAGGTTGGGGCATGAAGGTACAAGTGTTAGCCAGAGGTATAGAAGAACCCTGACTCTGCACAAAATATTTATTTGTAATATTATCATATTGCATCTATTCTCATGTTCTGAAAATTAGAACTTGGTCATCTTGCCTCATATAATACTTTATCCCTAGACTATCTATTCCACAGAGGATCTTACATCTTTTTATTCTAAAACATTCATTCTTTTCAGTGTACAGAGAAATAAATGAAGAATATTAAGTTTTAAGTATACAAAGCATACCCTGATTTTTCATTACATTTACCATCTAAATGGGTCTGTTATTAAATTTTGTGAAAACAGAGACAGCATGCTTTTTTAGTGTTTGTCAGGTACAGAATATTGTGTTTGAACTAACTCATGTAAAATGCAGGTAGAAGCTGACCTTTTAAAAGAACTGTTTGAATGCATTGTCTGTGTACCCAGTCGATTTCTTTTATTTACACAGTTCATAAAATGATGGAGCCCTCTCATGCCAATACTTGTTTAATGCATTATAATGTATTATTTTAAGCAAGTTTATACTGTCTTAAAAAGCATGTACTCTAAATCTTTGGGTGAAGTATCATCCTGGATTGGGTTCAATGTAGCTGGGAAACTTAGAGCTTTTAGATTGTTAGAGTATAAGACCATGTCAAGATCAAGTCACATTTAAATGAAATAACTGCATGTCCTAACACAGTCATATATACTCTGATTTGTCTGTTCATGGTCCAGGTAACATAGATTGAGAAATTTCCGTCATTTAAAATGTTGGTATTATGGTACATCTTAATTTACAGTAATCATAGAAAAGAATTTCATTATGTTGTTGATGGCAAATGATATTAATGGTTCAAATCATTTATCTTTTTTAAGTATACAAATTATAAGCTGAATTTGGTTGCATGATAAAAATTTTCTAAGTGCTTTTTCATAGGGTAGCATCACTATCAATTATTCACTGCCTACAGGGATCTTGGCAAAACAGTAGAATGTACTGAAGTTCCATTAGAGTTCAGTGGAATGAAGTCAAAATTTTTTAAAAATCTTCATGATTTGTTGTGAACCTTATACATAAAAGTGGGTATTGTGAATTTTGAAAACTCAAATGGCAAGCTCCAGTCAGGTACGGTAGCTAGTTTAGTAGGCATAAATTCAGACTCTTTTTTTCCATAGTTATGAGAGCTTTTCATTAGGGAATGAGTATAATTTTTGAGTGGTGCTAAATTTGCTTAACTGTAAACTAGACCACAAAATTCTTCTGAAGTTTCCTTTCTGTTAGCTAACTGATGTGCCAAAGACCTTGTAGTTATTTAAAATTGTCACTGTCTTCATGCTGACTTAAGTGTTAGGGATTGCCAAGAACAGGCAAAGGAAAATAGAGCAAACAGTATAAAAGGTTTCTGGAGATAATCACTTATAATTTTTGTTGTGAAAATTATCCAAGATGTCTTATGGATATTACTGTGGAATTTGACTTTGTTTTGGCTAAAAGGTAGCACCTATATTAGGTCCTGTGGTATTGATTTAGTATTTTGAATAAACAATGGATTTAACCTGCTTCTTCAGCTGTCTCTTAAATCAGAATCATAATTTCTTTCGTCAGTGGCTTTGCCAGCTGGTGTTGATCAAATTTTGCTATTCTTATTTTGGTTGTAATATTGTTTCCATTGACCTGCAATTATTTAGACAACTTTATGCTGAAAATTCCTATTTTTTTATGTGGACTACCATTAACACTTGATTTCCTTTTATGAATATCAATTTAAAGATACCACCAAAGAGCAGTACATTGAAATGATTTTGGTCTACGTGTGTAACTTGTATTCTAAAGAAGAAAACCATATGAGGAGCCTATACCAGTAGTCTCCAAAGTGTGGGGAGTGTAGCAGGGTGAGGCAGAGGGTAGGGGGGAAAGAGGAGTAATCATTCAAGGGTGGAAAGATAGATTGCATCCCAGCCTTCCTGCTATAGTCAGTCCTGGGGCTTGTTTCCAGCACTATAGCAGACCCTTCTTCCCTTGTGGACCAGCACTCCTGCTCTATCCCTGAGTAGTTCTACATGTTCCCAATTTCTCCCCTTCTTTAGCAGTCCCTCAGATTGATTATAATCTAACTTCAGCCTAGACACCAGCTGCTGCTCAAGTAAAATTCCCGCCCTACTCACCTTCCTATCTACCTCTTCACACTGTACTCACACCCTTTCTTCCAGATCACTAGCCCCAAGGGTTGGGCTCTATGCTCTGGGACCCTGGGCAGAGAGTAAATTCCATGCCCCACTTTTTCATTCAGGTAGGACAAATTGAATCACATAGGATAAGCAGATATTAAGATGGGTTGCTGAAGATATTATGTTATCTTTTCCCCCCAAATCTACTCTGCTTTTGTTGAGTCTACCACTATCCTCCTAGTCATCCAGATTTTTAATCTTGGCCTACTCATTATTACTCCATGTATCCATTCAGTTGCAAGAGCTTGTCATTTCTGTCTCCAGCTCTTCTCTTATATATCCCCTTCTCTCTTCTTACATACTCACTACCCTAGCTTAGGCCATTATCACCTCTTGTTTGGATGGTGAAATAATCTTTTAATTGGTTTTTATCTTAAGTCATTCCTAATTCTAATCCATCTTCCCCACAGCTGCCAATGTGACTTTCCTAAAATGTAAGTCAGTCTATGTAACCTCTCCCCCAATAAGATCCAGGGGCTATTTTTTGACTCTAGTATCAAATATTTCATTTTATCTCATCTCTTTTGTGTCTTTTATAATATACATAATTATTAGTATAGTAATGCGTATTATAATTTGTGTATATGGAGATGCTAAAAATCTTTTTCTTTTTGATAGGAGTGGCCTATACTATCACTCAAGTGATGTGTGTGTGTGTGTGTATACACATATATGTGTGTGTGTATATATATGTATATATATATATATACACACACTAGCACACACATATTATATTATCACTCAAGCATTTTTAACATCTAGCACAATGCAAGGCTTTGTGAGGTATACATAGTAGAACACACAAAGTGCTTGCACCTGAGGAGCTTATAGTTTGATTTGGGAGATATATACGTGAAGCAACAAGAAACCAATATAAAATAATATATAATTAGGTGGAAGTATGTTGTATATACCTAGTTAAGAGGAAGAAGAGAGAGCTTTATAGGCTGAAATGAGAAAACATTTAATGGAGAGGACTTAGGTTAGCATCAAAGGGCAGAAAACATGAGCAAGGTAAAAAGAAAGGAAAACCACTGTTGTGTGCAGAATATGGTATAAAGATTAGCCTGATGTAGAGCAAAGGTCTTTATTGGGAAGTAAATATTTTAGTCTTTCCATTACACTCTTTTTGATTATCATGGGAAGAAGAATGATTTGAGACCTAAATGTTGCTACACCTATATAAAGGTTTTCAAAGCCACAAGCATCTCTAAAATGTAGAACGTGATCTCTTCTTTTACTCTCAGATTTTGGATAATTGAATTCTAATTAGGTTCAAAGTAGCTCTTGTATTAGCTATGATGTGAGGTTTTTTTCTCTTTGCCTTCTTTTAGCTTGGCGTAAAAATTGCCAAAGCTGTTGCTTGCCGCAACTTTGTAAAAGCTAAAAAAGATGCTGAAACTTCACAAGAGGCTCAAAAAAAGAAGAAACTTGCATGGGGGTAAGTACTTCAAAATTTAGGTTATAATTAGTATTATAGCCATACGAAGCACACAAATATTGCCAGTGTGTTTTACTGTACTTCTTCAATCTTAATTTAGTTTTAAAATATCGTTGCCTGATCTTTATCACTATGTAAATATACTTTTCCTCATCTTATTTTGATATTATTTTGGACCTGGTGAAGTATTTGAAAGATTAAAACAAATCTAACGTCACTTCGTTACTTGCTAAAAAATATTTTAATTATTTAATTGCTTTAATAATGAATAGGTGATTTGTACTTTCTGTTTTAGGTTTGAAGCAAAGAAGAGATGGGAAACCAAAAGCAACATGGGATATATGTAACTAGGCCTTCGTCCTTGAAAAGTTGTATCTTACTGCTCAAAGGGAGCCCGCTAAATCTGATACCAGTTAGGGAAAGTAAACAGCAGATTAGTGGGTCAATTCTCCCTATTTTTTCAACCTTTTAAAAAAATGTATATTATTTTGTTTAAAAAATTAGTTTTTCTTAATAAATATGAGAATATAGTTAAGAAAAAATATAAGGGAAATAATGTATACATACATCAGTGCTTAAAGTATTAATGAAGTCATTGATATGGATATACCTGCTATTGGTTCACATTGAAATCCCTCTTTATGCCATAGAAAATAATATTTATTTGATTGCCATGGCCAAAGTAATTTTGTCTTCTGGTGGCTTTCCAAGCATGGTTAGGCTGTTGGTCAGAACAGGTATACTCTGTGAGCAGGCCTTGCCAAACTTACTGTAATAGCCTTGCAGGACTCGGGATCACTTGCACTGTTAAGGTATCAGTTGGACTTTATTGGAGTAATATATTTATATACAGCAAAAATTACTTGCTTTCCACTATTTGATGAATATTTAGCAATTGAAATCTGTGTAACTTAAATATTTATGATCATAAACTATCCTCATAGATTTTCTTTTTTAAATAATTGTATTTATTTGTTAGTAAGTAGGTCATAAGTATGCTTAAGAGCATGTAACCAAACCAGCCAAAAAACATTCAGTTCTAATACAAATGATGTTTTGTCTAAATATTTTTTTCTAGAAAATTGGGTTTTGTTTTGTTTTTCCCATGGCTGCTTGGTAAAAGTCAATGAATAATTTTAAGTACCTTTGAGGATGGAAAATGTCATACAGTTTGCTTTGGTTTAAATTCTTCCTGAGAATACACATAGACTACTCACGTCTCATTGTCTCTTTTATCCCTGTGGTTCTTTGAATTTTAATGTTCTTCTTAGATAGCATATTAGTCATGAAGTTTGGATATTGATAAATAGATAATCATTTTGATATTACTTGGAAAATAATGTTTTAAATTCTTTAAATATATGGTTTGTATTATTTCATTCTTCTTTCTCTTTGTTTACGCACACTCTCTCTCTCTCTCTCAATTATTTTGGAGAGTGGATACCTTGAAAGATATCTTACCTGTCATCATAGAGTATAGGAAAATATGCTAGCATTGCAGAATTCTAAAATGAACTTCAAAAGATCTTGTAGAGAGCACATAAGCTGTCCCACAAATGGTTGTTTATTCTTTGCATCAATTTCTCCAAAAAAAACGATCATATCACTGTGTTGGTCTCAGTTCTCAGAGGTGGAGAAAAGCTTATCACCATTGTCATCAGCTAATGTTTTCTTCTGAGGCCAAATAATCCTAATTCCTCTGAATGACTTCCAGTTATCTAATCTAAACCATCTCAGGGGTTATACACAGTTCACACTATGAAAAATCAAACTCAGATTTTTTATGTGAATATAAATGTGAATTGAATACCATACATGAAATATTCAAGGAGATGGTGTGCAGGTATGCCTTTAAGAAAGTCCAACAAATACAAATCTGAATTTTTAGAAGATATATATTTAACACATTATATTTCAAAAGATTTTTGGAATCATGGACTAGTAGACCTGAAGATTTTTGTGGCTACAGATATTAAGACTCAGAGACATGACATAACTTGTCCAAAATCATAGTCAGTCAGTAGTAGAATCAGAATTAGAACCAAGGTCTTATTAATTGTCAGTGCAGTGCTCTTTAGAGTGCTCTGTAGTTTCTATTCAATGTGATTTGGTTTTTACATAACTTTTCCAGAACAGTTTTACAGTGAAATATATCTATACTATCCAGAGCATTAGGTAGGTTTTACATTATGAGCATTAATGTTGCTTTTTGTGTTTGGGGGAAAGGGAATGGTTCGTTGTTGTTTGAGGTCATAGAAGTCATTGTTTTCCATTTAAGGAATGATGATTCATTGGGGAAATAGAACTTCAACAGCTCTTTTACCCAGTTTTATAATTCATCTTAAGAATATGAACTGAACATCTTATTGTTTTTCAATTTCTGTTTTTCTCTTTATACATGACATGTCTTTGAGGGTACAGTTACATGCCATTTATAGAATCCCTGTTATATTCAAAGTCATTCTAAATGTCTAAGAGAGGTGATAAGGCATATTGTAATACTAACCATTGTATAGACCTATTCTGTAAGGAAGTACCTAAAATTTTGTTCAGAGAAAATTTTCTATAGCAGCAGGTATTAATTCTCTGATTTATTAGATACATTGTTTAAAAACATAATTTTCTGGAAAAAAAATGAAAGATTGCTGTGCTTGTTGTAACTGTGATATAATGGAAAGAGGAATATACTAGTCATCAGAAGACCAGTCAGAAGACTTGTTTTTAGTATGGGTTCCACCACTAACAGTGTCACTTTGAACAAATCATTTCAGCTTTCTAGGCTCTAGTTTTTTCTCATTTGTAAAATGGGGATATTGCCATCTGCTCTCTCACCGGAGTATAGTAAAACACCAATGAAAAAGCACTTTGAAAACTATTAAACCTGTGCAAATGAAAAGGCTAGGGAATATGTTTTCCTTCTACCTATTCCTTCTTTCTACTTCCCTTAGGCCTATTTCCTTCAGGCATTGTCTAACTTCAGGGGTAGTGCTCAAGGCTAAAAATCCTTCCTGATTCACAAGTTCAGCTCTAGTAACTGATATGGCAAGATTTTGAGAAGTGTTAGAAAGTCAAACTACTCAAAAGATTTTCCGATTGCCTGAAATTTCCCACATTAGACTTCTTGAAGCCTTAGGGAGTTGTGTGTTTTAAGGTACTTGTTAAAGGGCTCTAAGGGTATAGGATCTAGAAGTTATCTCAGGTGTGGGGAAGGGCCAGGGAACAGTTCACAGCTCCTGGATGCTGCTTGAGCGCTGCCACCATGGCAGTCCAGCATAGGGACAGTATAGGGGTCCTTTTGAACGATTGTGTCTGAGTGGAAATAGGTGGGAGAGGTGATGCTGAAGGTAGCAGCCATCAGTGGAGAACCTAGGATCTACCACATCTGCTCTCAGGGCACTGCCAGAAGTGCCTTGAGCTGCCTGTGCAGATGCATTATCCCACATGGGGTGTTTTTAGCCAATCATGGATTTCATTTGTGTAGAGAGCAATGATGAGGCAGTTTCCCTGCCGGGCCAGACAAGCCCCTTTTCTGTTCAGGGTATCCTACTCACAGTCTGGCCAAGCAGAGACCTTGGTCTCCCAGGCTCTGGGACCAGCTCACTGTTGATTCTCTATGGCATACTGCCTCTCCATCTTCTATCATATGAATTAGAAATTTTACTCTGTCATTTTTAAAAACAAAATGATTGATGCAGTGATCATGCTACACATGTATGTGGCTAATAACATTCTCCATACTGTTCTCAGCAAGAAGAAGGGTACATTCTAGAGAAGTAATAACTCTACTACCTGAAGCTTCTACATATACATTTGCTGCCCCAAGAATGCTGGAGTTAAATTAGTAATGTAAATGTCAGTTATTGTTAACAGAGATTAATATGTTTCAGGCCACCGGTATGGCATTAATGTAGCTGGTTTATTGTTTAAGTCCTTCAGGCTAAAACAACTTACCAAAGAATAGTAATTTCAAGCTTTACAGCATTGATTCTGAGAACTAAAGTTTGCAGTGCATTTTTGTTTGGCAGCCCTCGGGATGTTTCTGATTTTTCAGTAGAACATTCTATTTCTTTCACCAAGAGGAGAGTTTGAATATGGTAATCTAAGGCCAGTTATAATTAGTTCTGATGACAGACTTAAATACCACTGCCAAGGTTGTAAATCAGTAGCTAAACAGGTTTCTACAACTGATTATAAATCTCTTAACTCCATATTTTAAATGCTTCTATTTTTGAGGTAGACAGATATGAATGGGGAGGACAGGGATAGGAATAAAATGTTATTTAACTTTGGACATTGGCTTAGAATGTCAAATATCAAGTCTTCAGATAAAAACTTATATGCTAACAAATTTTGTTTCTTCAGTATCTTCTTGCTTGAGTTGTTCCTATGTTTTTGGTTTGTCATTTGATACTATTATTTTTTAGTGCAGTAAACTTTGTTTCACTTGTAAAATACTAAGAATGTTTAGTGATATAAATTTAAAGTGAATACATAATATATTAGTACAAATTGTATATTTTTGTTTATAAAGTTTTATGTATCTGCTGTCTTTTTTAATACTCAAAAAAACCCAAACCTGTGATGAGGTAGTACAAATGTTACTCTCTTGTTTCCATGTGATAGAAGAAGACACAGGTTCAGAGAAATCATAGAGCCAAATAAACCTCACTGAGCCTTAAACTTCACTGTTTCCCAGTGATGCAGAGCTTCAGATTTCATAGTATGCATACAGAAAAGTGGTATAAAATTTCTAAGATACATATTCCACAGCCCCAAAACCTTTCTGTGTCAAGCTGATGTTACAAATAACGTGCCATTTTTATTGCAGAATTTGTTTTCCTTTTTAAAGAAATAATAAATTGAAGGTTGTGGAAATAGGTGACATCGAGACAGGTCATACACAGGAAAAAATTATGACACCTCCATTGTCAAAGGTTCTGGAACCAACTGAAATGCTTCAAGTTTTCCATGTTGGCACAAGTCACCTTTATTTTTAGTATCTGGCAGAACAGCAAATGCTTTGCATGTCAATTTAGTATTTTTTCAAGCCAACTGTTTATTCTCTGGCTTAAAATTTACACTCTACTAAAGTCTTAGCCATGACTTTCATGAAACAAATAGTAATATTTGGACAAAGTATGTACACGTAAATCTTTTCCAAAACCAAATGTCGATTGAACCAGTGCTGGGTATTTATGGCATCAGTGCCTTCTTAATATGATAATGGATCTGAAAGTGCTTTGAAAAAAAGCAAAGTGCTCCAAAAATGTAGCCAAAATTATTTTGTACTTTAAATAATTAATGTTATGCCATCAATGCCATTTTAATTATTTAGGAAGTATAAGAGCGTGTATTTCTGTGTGAAATTATGCTGAAATCCTGTTTCCAGGGTCTTGTTGCATCTGAATCCATCACTTGTATTTTTCAGAAGCACCAGAAATCCATGTATTAAAATAAAGTTTTTGTCTAAGTAGATAGAATTATATAGGAAGATGTCTAGGACGTTTTCTTCCTACCTAAATGATGATCTCTTCTTAATTGCAAAATCCAAGGACCTTTTTTTTTTCTGTCTTTAAAATTCTTAAACCTCTGTCAGCATTTAATGATGCTGACCACCACCATGTGCTTCTGGGATACGCTCTCTTTTCTGAGTTTTCCTGACAGTGATCTCTCCTAGTTCTTCTATCTATCTGACCACTTTTTTCCAGTTATTCTTTTTTTGTCATTTATGCCTTGCCTTCTATGTGTAGGTTTACCTGAGGTCACTACCCTAGGCCCCCTTCTTTCTCTTCAGTCTCTGATCTCATTAGCTCCCATGGGTTCAATTATCTATACGGACAACTCCCAGATCTATCTATCCAATCCCCTTCTCTCTCTTGAGCTCTGGTCCCATATCACCAGCTACCTATTAGATATTTCCAATCAAATGCCCCATAGGCATCTCAAACATAACATATCTAAAGCAGAACTCATTATCTTCCCTCTACTCTCCCCCCAAAATCCTGATTCTCTACTTGTTTTCATAACTACAAGTAGAACCATCCTTGTCACCCAGGTTCACAATGTCAAAATCATTCTCAACTCTTCTTCCTTACCTCTTCATCTGATAGTTTCCTAAATCTTGTCTTACCTCTGTAGTATCTTTCATGTGTTTCATTTTCTCTCCACATAGATACCACCCTCATTGAGGCCTTCATCACCTCTTGCCTAGACTATTATAATACCCTCATAATTAGTCTTCCTCCATTCTCTTTCCACTCTAGTCAGTTCTCCATATAACTGCCAAATTGATATTCTTAAGATACATGAACATTTGACTTCTCTGCACAAAATTCTGTTTCCTCTCAGATAAAATACAAACTCTGCTTACCCTTCACAATCTCATTTTAGTCTCTGTTTCTGGGCTTACTGCACATTGCCCTTCACATATGCTATGATCCAACCAAACAAGCCTACTTAGCATTCTTCATATATGATGTACCATTTCCTATCTACATGCCTTTTCGTTCATGCCCTCTCCTCTCTTCCACCACATGCTATCTTTAGCTTCTATCAAGACTTAAGTGCCACCTTTCTACATGAGACTTTACCTGTTCCCCTCAGGGAGTGGTGTCTTTGCCCCTAAGAATTACTTTGTATTTACCCTTGCTTGTATTTTGTTCTTATTTGTCTTGTCTACATAGAATATAGACTCTTCGGGGCAGATCCCTGGCATGCAGGATACATTTTGTAAATGTCGAACAAACTTTTACAGACAGCCTATGGATGAGATAATTTACTTGGTTTAACTTAATATTTTTATATTAACAGATCTTCAGTGCAAGAGACAAGAAAGTACAGCCTTTACGATCTGTCTTCCTTAAGTCCCTGAAAGCAATAGAAAACACCATGGGAGTTTTGACATGAATAGCACAAACTACTAGTCGCCAGCAGCAGCCACACATATCAGGCCAAAATTACCATAAGGAAATCTAAAAGGGCATCTTTAGCAATTTGAGTCTGGTTTCAAAATGAAGGCAATTGCTGGCCAAGAAGCAGTGGTGTTTCATTCTATTAGTGCGGTGGAGACACTAAGAAGGCATAAATTCTATGGTATAATGGGATTTTATTGCTAAATTGTATTTTGTGTTCTTCATTACAGTTACATGAATGCACAGACCTTACTATTATTACAATTGGACGTATTGTCTGATATACTTGTAAAAAGTCAAGAAATAGATGGAGAATGATTAATTATATGGGGGCAGCTAGGTGGCACAGTGGATAGAGTGCAACCCTGGAGTCAAGAAGACTCATCTTCCTGAATTCAAATCTGGCCTCTGATACTTATTATGTGACCCTGGGCAAGTTGCTTAATGTTGTTTGCCTCAGTTTCCTCATCTGTAAAATGAGCTGGAGAAGGAAATGGCAAAGTATTTAAGACCTTTGCCAAGAAAACCCCAAGTGGGGTCATGAAAAGTCATACACCACTGAAACAACTGAACAACAATGAATTACATTTTTACTGATATTTGTAAGATTTGAGGGGAGTTGAGAACAAGTAGAACAGGGATAATATTTCAACCTGAAATTGATTTTTTATTTTTTTATTTTATAGCTTTTATGCCCTAACTCATTTTTCTAATCTGCAAAGTGAGGACTATAGAAATGTTCACTATTATTATTGTTATGGTTATTATCATATCATGGAACTACAGCATAGAAAAGGGAGGAAGCTATTGGACTAGAAACAGGTGTTCTTTTAACTGTTTTCTTTCTACTCTGAGGACAAACAAATGCTGCAAGATTGAAAATTCATCTTTCACCTCCCAAGGCCATTGGTCTGCTCTTCCTAAATTGCCACAGGGGGTCTTCTATATCACTAGCATGGAGTGAAGTAATTTTTCCCCAACTCTTAATTTGCAAAGGTGTGTCTGTCCAGTTAATACTTGTTCATTGAACTAAAAGTTGAGAAACAGCTACGGTACAAGCTGTAATTACTGATGGCTGTTTAATATTCATTTCTAAATTCTGGCATGTTCTCAAGTAGTTTTATTTTACTTAAACTCTAAGGTGTGTGTCAGTTCTAAAGCTGATCACTTGATGGGCAGCATGAAGTCATGACTGACCCAAATGACTCTTTCCCCATTTGGGTTGTACTGGGACATGCTTTAGGAAATTAAAATCAAAGTATTTTGCCTCTCTTATGACTTTACTTTCACAAATAATATACTGTTTGATTGTTACAATAACCTAGGGAACTAGGTAGGGTAGGGCAGTGTAATAGCTGCATTTTAGAGAAGGAAAACTTAAGGCACTGAAAGAATCACTAAATCATGAGGGTTAAGAGCTGCTGTCTTCATATCAAACTGGTTTAGGAAAAGTGACATGATTTTGTTAAACTTTTAAAAAATACTAGTTGCCAAATTCTGGGAATTCTTCTGAGCTTAAAGCTTAATAGTGATAGCTAAGTAGAAGAGAGGGAGAGAGAGAGTGTGTGTGCGTGCGTGCGTGCGTGTGTGTGTGTATTTGTGTGTATCCTGCTATTTTCTCAATGGCTCTGTACCTAGATATATCCAGAAGTAGTTGTGACTCCTAGACCAGAGCCCTCCTAGATGAGAAGTCAAATGAGCATTTGATTCTATGAATGGCCTGGGGGCTTTGAGAAACAATCTGTAGTGTTATGAAGACCAAATGGTTGTAAATTGATTTTAAAAATACACTGCTTCCACCAGAGCAGAGTAGGACTGTGAGTAGGACTGACACTAGAGAAAGCAGTGTATATATTTAAAAACAAATAACTATATAATCTGCTTTAGAAATAATGTTTCTACTCTAACCAGGGAATTCCACTTATTCCATAAATAGGCCCACAAAGTTCTACCTCTGCATTTTTTCTTACCATATTCCTTTAACTGGAATAACTTCCCCCTTTCCCCTCAGTCATAAGAATCCTATTCATTCTTTAAGGAATAACTGAAATCTTAACCTGCTGCCTATGAAGCCATTTCTGGGTTTTTACCCACTGTAATCTTTTCCTCTTGAGCTCCTATAGACTGGACAACACATTTGCTTTTTATATAGTACTGCCATGTATTTGCTATACATCTCTGTCATCTCTGTCCCTGTATGCAGATACTTAATAAATGTTTATTGAAAGTCTACCTCGAACTAAATTTTAACGACTCAAATGCAGGGACTGTGGCTTGGAGTTCTTTGCAGTACTTCTGCAGCACCTACTCTAGGGTTGGTACGTAGTAGACACTCAATATATACTTAATACTCTTTTGATGTGTGATAATAGTAATGGAAGAGCTGTTCGTGAACTGTTACCAATAAAGGACTGTTTTAGAGACTCTACAGAGGTGCGTTCTGTTATCCTGAAAAGTTCAGAAGATTCTTAGTTCTAGTTGCACTGGCTGTAGTTTCTATCCTACTTCTATGATGTTGGGTAAGTCACTTTAATCTCTCTGGGCTTCGTTTTCCTCATCAGTTGGTGAAAGGATTTAACCAGATAGGCCTCTGAAGTCCCTTCCCACTCTGAACTTTGAGCCTATGATCCTTCTAATATCCTGTGCTTCTGTGACACTTTTGGAAAGTTATGTGTCTTTACACCTGTGGTCTTATTTCTATTTTTATATCCTTATGAGAGTGAAGTTTTGTTCCAGCTAAAAGTGAGATTTTTTTTTCTCTTATATGATTGCCT